TTGTGTAAATGCTGCAGAAATGCCGAAGCCATGCCAGGAGCCTTGGATAGCTCCCAACCAAGAGCTGTCTCACTGTCTGCCAGTAAAAACATCACATTCCTGGGTCATCTATAAGACTAGAAACAATAACTGCTTAGCACTTACTCAAAGATTCTCCTTTATGAAAATTTATTGCTTTCAAATGACTTAAAGGCTACATGTCTCTCAGAACTGGGATTCTTCCCTCCTTGCACTCATCGTATAGGACATCCTTTTCTGTTATTTCAGAGACTTTTCCCTGCAAACAACACAGCCGCCCAGATGCATACAAATCGTCTGTAAGAGGCAGCAAGCAAAAGCCTCAGGCAGAGCCATTCCGAGGGTCAGGACTTCTCAAATTTCTAACACTGGCAGCCCTTCACATAACCTCCCCTCTCAGCCATTAGTTTACACCTCAAAGATGGATCTAAAACACCTGCTTATTGTGCTTTAGTTTGCCTCTTTCCCAGAAAGATACTGTACGGGACATGACACTCCTCCCTTCTCTGCCTGGACTCATCTGTCTTCACTAGGGGAGACGTGAGCACTGGGTCTGTCCAACAGTACTGGTTTAACCTTCTCTCTTCCCAGAAGAGAGTGCTTCCAAGTTGCAGGCTGTGTTCTACAAGGTAACTACAAAATCCTGGAGTCATGTCCTCCAAGGCTGACTCTTCCACACGATGAATAGGTCCAGTTCAGGGAAGCTGTATGGTAAAGTAGCACAGCTGAGAGGCATCTGAGTGACTCTGCTTTGATGTACTGCACTCCTGGAAGAAGAGGGATGGAGGGGATGATGTTTGCAGTTTGATTTATTTTCAGTTTGTTTTCATGGAGCCCAGGATATTTTCAGCCTTAGTCCAATATCACAAATGAAACTGCTAATGAGTTCTGTTGATAATGAGACATTTTCCCAAGAGGATGAACTTAAACTGACAAGAACTTGGCTACAAGATGGAAGAGCTGAGATCTGCATCAGGGCTGATCCACAAGTGGCTCAGGACAGTCTTTCTTTATAGTGAGTTTAATCTGAAGTTTACTGACTAAAGCCCACTCCAAAACCTGCTTTGGCAGGAGAAACAGGAGCCTTTTGCTCCAAAAAATAAGCCTGCCATTCTTCTCTTTCAAATCACACCTCCCTGCCCATGTGCTTGAAATCTAGGGGAGACTTCAGAGATCTCCTCCCAGTCTGGCATAGCCCTGGGAGTCTCTCACACACTGCACACGCCTGCTTTCAAAGCAAGGCAGGCTGTCCCTGCAGCGTGCACGCTCACCAGCCATTCAGACATATAACTCAATGGTTTGGGTTTTTTAAGATACTGAGGAGCTGTGAGGTGTCAGGGAAGCTGGTTTCACAGCCCCAGAAACACCTGGACAATGCTAGTCCCAGCATGTTGACATCAGAGGAACCAAAGCAGTGGGACCAAACACAACATTTTTCCTCCCACACTTCTCCTCCCAGCTTCTCCCATCTACCTGAAGATACACTATGTGGAGAAGAAAGGCAGCAAAACCAGACCTACCAAACAGCAAGAGAAACATGCACCATAGTCCCACCTGCCATCTCAAAGAAGCAGGAGTGCAGCAAGAACCAGACTAGCATCAACCTGAAGGCTCCAGAATGGTTGTGCTCCTTCGTCCTCAAAATGGGACAGGACATGTCACCTGAGATCTTTTAAATAATTCCCCAGAGAGCATTTTTAAGAAAACCAGAGGAAGCAGTAAGGGCTGCCCCAAAGCCCAGGTGAAAAAGGACCATCACAAATGCACAGCAGCAGCTGAGTTGTCTGAAGGAAGCAGCCTTTGCAAAGCACATGCATTTGCTCTGCATAAGCCTCTAACAGCCCGGGCTCCATTTGAGACCAGAACTGTAGATGCTTCAATTGCAATTAGCTCTAATTAAAGCAGTGATCATATAACAGAGATAGTACATAAAAATTTTTCATTCTAAATGACAATGCAAATGCCATTTTCACACATACATTGTGTAATGTTTATTCCCTTCTGCAGGAGAGTGAAAGTCCGCTATTTTAATCCTACCTGGCTCTAGGACTGTCTTGATCTTGGAACAATGAAAGATGCAGATTCAATCCAAAGCTTAAACAGGGAAACATGGTATTCCTGAATAACCTCCCAGCACATTTCTCCTGCTCAGTTATATTCGAGCCACACAAACACTGATGGGGTGCATAGTTTAAATGGATGACATCCAGAAGACAGAAGAGATGCCTCCCATGAACATTTTTCTGCATATACTAGATAAGGCTTGGCAGTTTCAGAAAGAGACATACTGAAAACTCAGCAAGGTTCCTTCTTGCAAAGTCTGCTGGTTTGTTGCTGGCTTAATTTAAACAATGACAGACCTACAAATACAGAGACTGAAAAGTAGATTTGCAGAAATCAGGTTATTTTGTCAGATCAGATCACCGCTCTCTGAAACCTAAAATCACATCCTCATGGCCACACAAGCCCTAGCCTCACCAGCAAGCCAATGTATCCAGAAACAGAGATGTTCCTTAATGGTGTCAGGAATCAGAACAGTTCAAATGTTGGGAGTCTAAAATGAATACATCAGTCACAAACCAGCTTCTGTGGCAGCTTTTGATTCCCTGTTAGGGCCAATCCAAAATCAGACCATGAGAAAACTGTGGGTGTTTTAAATCCAGAAGCTTGTCTGAAAGTGTTCTTGTTATACACGAAACATGAACTTTTAATGCCAGAGCCCTCAGTGTGCACAGGGCTGTCAAAGGTGCTTGGAGGAAGACAGGATGGAGGGAAGAAGGCAAGGAGAAGAAAAGGTTTTCCAGTGAGCTTTTTTCAGTTCCATAAACATTAGTCTTCATCCCACAAAAGTTGTTTTCACAGTGTAATGAATTCCCTTCTCCTGCCACAGCAAATGCAGGATGAACTAGTCCCACCTAACAACTGTTTTTCATGTTTTAATGTACACACTTCACGTTCTGGCATCCACTCCTCCACTCACTCCTGAGGCTGGTTTGTCTTAGCATGGAAAAGTGCTGGAGGAGCATTTTTCATCTGAGAGGGACAAGAGAGGTAGATTAGGGTGAAACAGACCCTGCAAGTTTTCATCTTTCTGGGCTGCAGAGACTGTTCATGGCCTCCCAGTAAGGAAAGTTTTGCAGATTTTCCAGTACTGGTGGGTCTTGCAGCTGAGGCTTTGTCAGCAGAAACGCACTGAGAAGGTCCCTGCTTTAACTGCTCTGATCCTTGTATATCCACTGTGCCCTTGACTGGGCACAAGCCTATGGGGTTGCACAGATAAAGAAGAGCTAACACTTCAGTCACATCCTTTAGAAAGCAATTTTTTAAAATATTAAATCAAGGCAATTAGTAAAATGAAATTATACACTAAACCAAATTTAAAATCTGTATTTTACAAGGTACACTCCGATTCATATTACAGGAGCTTCACCTCTGTTCCTTCCCCACCGTGTGTCCCTGCTCTTCCTGTGCTCCTGCCCTCCTGTCTGCCCCTACCCAGGTTGCTGCCCCATAGCACCGAGGGCATCATAATGTCCACTGGAGAGGGTCGTGAGCAGCCAGGGAGGCTAAGTAGGAACTGCTCAAATCATCTTTGCTGCTGACACGTGCATGCTTCAGAGACACAGCCCAAGCACAGCTCTAGAAAAGAGCCTAGCAAGTTGATGGATTAATTAGCATGGAAAAGAAAGTTAAATTAATCTGAGTTATTAAGGAAAAATATCTTATTTGCAGTAAAATGGCATAGTAAACATCTTCAGTATATATTGGCCCATTTCCTTTTATATGATGATGCATACCTCTCACATCAAGTCACTAGGAAAGCTGTTACACCATTGCCTTGGAGCTATCAAGATGTAACTGGAAAACTTCATGCTATCTATGGAAGTGCAGATTGTTTGCTGTGGTACAGTAAGTTACATTCCATTCTAATCCTGTTGCAAAATGTAATAAAACAATATAAACACATTTAAAAGGGATACTGTATAGGATTTGTGGTCAAACAAAACATAATTGTCACTGTATCCCTTGAGTTTCAGCAGGGTTTTAGCACACGCAACCCAAAAAAACAGTCTGGAAGAATCTGAAATCTGAAGGCAGAAAAGAAAATGTGGAGCAGTTTGTTCATATCACAACATGCCAAAGGAGAACAAGGTTGACAAAAAGTAATTGTTTCATAAACAAAAGAATCGGAACACCAACCTCCGCAGAAGAGACAGCCAGCCATCTTCACAGGATCAGGCTGGTTGGCCCATGGACCCTGCTGCCAAGGACTGCCAAATGCTCTAGAAGGTGTGAGGCACCTCTCGCTGGGTATTACAAGAGCATCCCTCGCCAGGACAGCTGCGGAATGTTTTCTAAGGAATTAGCCTCACAGCAGTTGGCTTGTCTTGAAGCACAGCAGTTTATGATGACTTTAGGGTTTTCTTACGGTTCTATATTACACAGTATGGCCCCACCTTTCTCTTATGTAATGTTTGCCAAAACCTGCATGTAGTTCCCGAATTATGGTTACTGCATTTGACAGAACTTGTGGGTCTGGGATGGGACTAATCAGAGATGATGCTGTGCACTCCTGGACATCAGAGCCACTCTGACTGAAGTTTTCAGAAACTGCTGAGGAAGTTGGACACCTAAATACAAAAATCTGCTTTGGACTCCAAGCCTCTGACATACAAACAGTGCCTGCAGAATTTACCTGCTCCTTGCTGCCTTGTTGCCTGTACAAAGTCTGCATATATAAAATAAGAAAGTATGCACAGGACCGTAAATAGAAATATCACATTGAGGTACACATCAGTTAGGCTGTTCCACCCATGCACTGACATTTGCAGGGGACAAGAAATTGTTATGCTTTGTGAGCACAGCTGAGCCCTACGGAGAAGGCACTTCAGGCAACAACCCCAATTCCACCATTTCTGCCAGCAGGACAGAAAGAGGTTGCAGGATCCAAATAACAGTAGATCTCTGCTACTTTTGCTGTTTCCTAGATAGAGAAATGCTGAGATGTTTCTCTGCAGCTTCCAAAATCCTCTTTCTTTCTAAGCCCCAGACTGTGCTAGCTTTACTCTCAGAAGGCACAGCAGGATTTGCCCCAGAAAAGGACAAGCTGGTAAAGTATGTTGGTATCCCTCTACTTTCCTCTGCTGGGTAGGTTGTACCAGTGAGATGAGACATGTCAGGTTTTGGAACCAGACAAAACGTCCTGAATTAAGTGATCTCCCATGGCAGCAGCAGATCAGCTTTATAACTGGCTTTATAATTATTAGGTTTAGCAAGACAGCACTTATTTTTCTCTTTTTTAAATTATTTTTTGCTATCTGGTTGACTGATTTTTGCCATAGCCAACGGAAGATAAAAAACAATCTCCAATGCTGTCTCAAAACACCATTTATACAAAAGTATGTAGTACTGATTTAATTCTGTTCCCAGTATTTCCTACTATGCTAACCTATCTTCTGCACCAGCTGAAAGTCAGTGTTCTATTTTTATGTTGCCTTTAATGTGGGTGGATTTCACTGAGCCTTAAGTGAGTAAAAAAACCCCTATGTTAATCCTTCATTGACAATCTAATTCAACATTCCTGTGTATACATCTTTTTTTATTGTGGCTGATTATTTCAGTCTCAGCCTGGTTCAGGATCAACTGTTTTGCATTTCACAAATGTAAGCTCTGCACATGATTCCAAACTTGCTAACATTCCCAGAAATACGAAAGTCTTAAACCACCTTTACCTGGAGGAACAAAAACATTCCATAATTTAATTCTAGCCAACATTTTCTAAGGTTTTGTTATTTTTATCCAAATATACCTTACTATCCTTTTAAATGACAACACATTAAAAAGTAATTAAATTGTACTGCTGCCCTGCATCTTGTTATGCTTATTTACACCAGCAAGGATAACTTCTAAGTGCTCCACTTGTTTATCTCTGAATCACCCCCTGACCAGCCCTAAATTTACTGCAACCCAAGCCTTCATTGACATTTCCTTTCCACATATAAACCTTGTGCTGGCCCACACTTACACACTGTGCTATACAAAGTGAGTGAGTCTCTGTGATGCTACCTATGGCAAATACCGCCCACAGAATTGATAAACAAGTTTTCTGTTATGTTTGTTTAAATGAAACTTCTTACAAATGAGGAACCACACACAGCAATACCTCCCAGACAGAGCATCTGCTGTCTGCACGACAAGGAGCTTTGCCATATACAAAGAGCAGGGTAAGAGCAGGGTCAGGTACAGGCAGCATGCAGGGTGGAGGGTGCTGTCCTAATGACAGTGAGTTGCTCTGTCTGCTGGAAGCCACCGAAAGCGACTGAAGGCAGGTGCTCCCTGCTTGGAAAGATGGGAAATCATGCCAAAGAGGGAAGGAAGGGGAAACTGCCAGTGTTCCTTTCTCTTAGATAGGGGGCACCTATTTACAAGTTTGCAATGCTGCTGCAGACATTCATTTTGCACAGAGAGTACACAAAAGGCTCCTGCAGTGTCCAATATCCATATAAGCTCTCCAACCAAATGTAGGCAACTGTCATGTGAGCAGTACAGGAGCCATGGCTCCCCACCTAGTCATTCGCAACCAGCTCCAAACCTATCTGAGAGGTGATGAGCACAGGCCAGTGCAGGAACAACCGTCTGTTTTATGCTTTCCTGCCATCCAGCCACATCTGCAGGATGGACAGCAAAATCCCTGTTTGCACTGTGCTTCAGCTGCCTTAATACACTTTGCAAGCCTTTGCGCAGTTTCCTCCCAACACACACACACGCACACACTGCCATGGTCTCAATTCCATGATTTTCCAGGTGATGAGACAAAACTGTGTGGTAGGCTGAGTTGGGTCCCTGCACCACCAGTTGACCACCCCTGGTCACGGGGACTGAAAAGGAGCCTGAGAACCTAGACTTCCCGGCACTGGCATCAGCTTATTGCATGGTCCTGAGCAAATAGTGATGGTGGTGTGCTCTCTACCACTGCTGCCCTCCTACTTGGCAGGGTGGCTTATTTACCTACATCACAGACCTGCTGCAGACTGATTAGGCAGTGTTGGCAGAGTACTTTGGAGATGTAAGCAGCTGTCTAGGAGATAAATGCTACTCACAAATGTTTAGAAATACCACATTTGCCTTTGTTTGCAGTGTTGTAGTATTTCTGATTCTGCTTGAAAGCACATAATATAAAGAATTTTAAAAGTAAGTGCTCACATAAGAAACTTTCCACATCCTTAGGAATTTCCTACAAGACTTAGGATCTATTTGATTGAGACAGCCATTACAAATTCTTATTTTACTTGAGCTCCTTACATTTCCAAATTTCAGAGTGAGCAACTCCATTTTCCTTTAAAACCATGACAGACACCCTAAAATTTCAGATTATAGTTTTGAGACATTAACAGAATTCTGTATTTTGAAGTGAAGGTGATGTACTTACCAACAACCTCCTGCAATAACCAAACCGCCGGCTCCCATCTTCCCCCGTCAGCATGAAAGAGAAGGTCTCACTAGAAGAAAATATATTGCCCAGATCTTACTATCAGCACTACAGCACAGCTATGAGGTAGATCATTTAGAAAGGGATACTGCCTCATCCAGTAAGAGATTCTACCCACTGGCGGGTCTTCTCTTCTCCCTCTGCCCATCATATGGACATACTCTGTGGACAAATTCCATCAGCAGTAGAGCAAAAATATCTGCATGGCTGTGGACAACCTAGCTATCTTATTATAAGAAGAGAAAGGTGCTGAATTTCAGTTACATGGCAGTCCCTTTGTACTGCAGAAGAAACTCAAGAATCAGATTTTGAGGGCAGTATTCAAATGCTGTAACTCCCTTATCTTTTAGTTAGATCCTGTCTTTGGACTGTGCTTTGTTCTTAGAGGGAGAAGCTTAGATATTCTCTAAGAATAGAGAAATTATTTTCTAACCCAGAAACAGCACAGACTTCCAAAATCCAGCTTATTTTAAATCCCTGTTTAGGATAAGCACCATTCGTGACAGAGAAGAAGAACAGTTTAAGACTAAAATTACAGCACAGGTAAAGGGATGTGTCTGTGAATTTTTGTCCGGACTGAATGAGAAACATTCCTGACTGCTTTGCAAGTTTTAAATGGCACTATATAAAACACTTTTTCTTTGTGCTGGAATGCCAGGGTTTATATAATTATAGCCATATATGGGAGGGATATCTTTTTTCACAAACATGGGCTCATGAAAGGTCTGTCTAGGAGAGCGGCAGCAGAAGAGATGAAATGCTGTGTAGGCAGGGCTGTGTGCTTCTCATACCAATATTGCCCACATAGTTGTCTGCTTCTCCTTCAGTGTTTTCAATAACTCACTATTCAGGTGCTTCCACGTACTGAATAATACAGCCAAGCAACACAGAATACAACATGGTTATGTTGCATGTGCCATACATAAGCCAACAAAAAGTTCCATACATATTCTTGGTTACACTAATTCCTGCAGGTGAATGCTAGTTCCTTGTCATCGTTGAAAGTCCCTCTAGACACACTCTAAACAGATCTTACTTCATTTACGCATGTCTCAGACCATACATCTTAAAAAGCCATCTCATATTCTAGGAGAATATGGTAAGACCCCCCCTGCAGTACTGTGTTCAGCTCTGGAGTCCTCAGCACAACAAGGAGATGGACCTGTTGGAGTGAGACCAGAGGAGGCCACAAAAATGATCTGAGGGCTGGAGCACCTCTCCTATGAGGACAGGCTGAGAGAGTTGGGGTTGTTCAGCATGGAAAAGAGAAGGCCCTGGGGAGACCTGATTGCAGCCCTTCCATACTTAAAGAGGGCTTCTACGAAAGATGGGGACAGACTTTTTAGTAGAACCTGTAGCAATAGGACTAGGGGTAATGGTTTTAAGCTGAAAGAGGGTAGGTTCAGACTAGATATAGGGAAGAAATGTTTTACGATGAGGGTGGTGAAACCCTGGAATAGGTTGCCCAGAGAGGTTGTAGACGCCCCATCCCTAGAAACATTCAAGGTCGGGTTGGATGGGGCTTTGAGCAACCTGCTCTAGTTGAAGGTGTCCCTGTTCATTGCAGGGGGATTGGACTAGATGGCCTTTAAAGGTCCTTTCCAACCAAACCATTATATGACGCTATCCCTTCCGCCTGTTCTACTACTTCTACACCTTCAGATCAACAGGTTCTGTCACATAAATGCAGGAAAAAAAAAAGAAGATACATTTTTTGAGGTTTCTTTTGAATGAAAAAGAAAATGCAGGCCTGGGTCTCCCTTCCCTTGCCCTTCTCCTGTAGTCATTCATGAGGGAAGGAAGACTGGGCTGCTCTGCTGGCATAGAGCTTGGCTCCAAAAAAGTTCTCAGAACTGCATTGCTTTGAGCCAAATGAAGAGGTGTCCTGCAATGCTAGACAACCATTCTGGGGTAAATGACTAGGGCAGGTGGTGGGCAGGGCCCTGTCCTTTTTAAGATTTATTTTAAATACTTCTATTTATGCTTTTGGGTTTAGCACTGAGAGGAACCCTCATACCTCTTCCCCTCACGCACACAGGCCTGTGAGGCAGGCAGAATAGGGAAGAAAAATAATACAGGACTTTTTTTAAAAAAAAATTAAATACGGCTGCTTGAGCCTGAAGTGGCCAAGACTCAAACTGCTACTTCCTTAATTGGGCATCGTCGAGCCTGTGGCTGCTCCAGATGCACTCCATCAGCACTGCAAGCAGAGGAGCACCAAAGGGTTTACCTGTTGTATTCTGAGACAGGGAGCCAGTCCTTGGCATCAGGAAAGCAGAACTGAGGGATAGCCTTGAGACGTTCCTCTGCTTCACGCATTTGCTTGGTTGGTCGTTCTAGCTGCGGGGGAGAAAATTGAGGTTCAGTCAGTTACTGTTAGTGCCAGCTTCACAGCACCTCTCAGGAGGAGGGGTTACTAATGAGCTCTGAAGAGCAAGGGCCCATCAGCTTGTTCTTTATCTGTGCTTGGCAGAGTGAGGCATGACCCCAGGACAGGCTTACAGATGCCAATGCAATGAAATAATCACTGCTGGGTGGTTTTATTTTTTTTTAATTTCCCAAAACTCCCTTGTTACACAGTGGCCACTTAAAACACAATCCTAACTCAAATTCCTTTCTACTGCAAAAGCACAAGAGAAATTGACTTCAGTGAGTTTTGGAACACATCTTAATATAGCCAAAATGAGTCAAAAGTGACAATGAATTTAAACACAGTCTTTAAAGCACCTACTATCAGGTCAAACTCTCCAGCACTGGAAAAGATAAATTTGTAAACAGGGGAAGCTTTCAGTCACCTTCTTTATGCCCTTCGCTTTGTAACAGATCACTTTGGAACAATTATGAAAGCTGAATGATTAACTCCATTTAAAAAATAGATTTCTATTAATTTTCCAACTTATTCACTTTATTGATCTTAGAATGAACTGTAGATATGAATTTTTCTTTTACCTTGGGAAACTGATACGTCACTTCTGGGAGGTAAGTGTTTTTAGAGGGCTTCTTTTTCAGGGACACTACCACAAAATACTCAAATAACTCCCGTTCCTGCCATTCAATCAGCTCCAGTTCCAGGGTTCGATAACTTGGAGCCCTCTTCAGCATTGACTGGATGTGTACTAGACGCTGGGTATGAGCTAGCATTCAAAAAAAAAAATAAAGAAAAAAAGAAAAAAAAAAAAGAGGGACAGATCGTTACCTGGGAGTGTAATGAGTATGTGTAATCCACAGCCATTCACAAAAGACTTTCAATTTGCCAGTGTCTTATTCCAAGCATGTTCTCCTTTCAAAAGCAAACCTTCATACTGTAGTCTCCCTCACTAATTGCACCCATAAATCAAAACTCTCTCCAAGTACTGAAGTGGTGCAACACTAAGTCACTGAAATAATTCGCAGTTCATAACTGTTACCCTGCCAAAGGTCTGCTTCTTCTTTGCATATAAGACTAGATTATAAGCCCTTATGTGGGTGTGCAAATGCACTAGTGCCTCCAGGATGACACATCTCAGGCCTGACTTGGACCTGGTTTACATTGGTGAAAAACAGTTCTGTGACCTGTCCCCACGTAGCACAGCTTTATTGTAAGAACCACTGAAGGTGTATTTTCTCCTTCTCTACAGCACAGACATAGTCCACACAAGCCACAGAACAATCTCCAGGGAAGGGGGAAGGAAAGGAAAGAGGTGCAAATTGCCTCCTGTGGGATTGCTTCGCTTGTGCCAATTCAACTGAGGGGCAATCTTAGGGTCATGGTCATTTCCAGTCCTGATTCAAAGATATGCCTTGATCCAGTGACTTGTTGCTAGACATCTATGGCAGACTAGTCAGTAACATCATTACCAGTTCTGGTAGACCAATAAGTGAAAACAGCAAAGTAAAACCAGCTTCCTGCATGCTCTTCCCCACCTCTTCACACCAGGATCTCTGTGCAATGGCAAATGAATTATTAGCAGCACATGTCAACCCCTTAAGGCTGTATTCAAGGCAGACTGTCCCTTGTGGCAGGGAAATAAGATGTCACAAGCACTTGATCACAGCAGTAATTGACAGAAAGAAAGGGAAACTTCTTGATGACTAGCCATCATACAACTGGTTCAACAACACAAAAATTAAAAATTACTTTGATAAAGCACTTGGGTCTTGGTGTGACTGCACAACTAGGGAAGCTAAATCCCAAGAAATAACCTGCCTTGTCCTGCCTTGAGATAGCCCGACACTGCTGGCCAGTGCTTCATATTTGCAACAAGTGAAACCAAAGAGCCCATCCCACCCCAACAGATGGAGCCCAGTGAATCCTGTCATGCTACACATGACGGCTGGATCTTTGGCTTAGGATGCCCTGAGAACATCAACGTAAATAAAAGGTCACCCAGGAGCAGTCAGCTAGGGAGCCATCAGAATGAAGATCCTCCATTCCACAACAATGGGGGAAAAAGTTTCCCAGTTTACAGTGAAATTAGGGTATCTTCCCAAGAACAAGAGAGAGGCCAGGCCTTGCCTGGCCTTCTTTCATGGGCTATGAGCAAAAGCAACTCCTGTATTTTTTGACACAAAGAGAAATAGAACTGAAAATGCTTTTGGCCTGGCACCTGTTTACAAAGGAGCAATAGGTCTTTTTCCACGCATCACTGTACAATGTTGCATACAGCCTGTTTTGGGTAGTCTTACCACCACCTATCTGGAACAAATCTTTTTCCCTAAGACAATTTTTTCCAGCAAGTTTTCCTGCATGAACAGTAAACAGGTGACATCTGCAGTAGATAGACATGAATGCTTGCCCCTTATCTTATAACCACAGCTCTGTGCTCTCAGGTTTTTTTCCCCTCACGTACTAACAACATGAAAGGTTTCTAGCAATAAAATCTGTTGTTGCTGCCTTCCAGTTTTTTATACTTTTCTCTGTGCATCAGGACTCTTGAAAATGAGGGACTAATTTACTGGCCTGGCTCAAGCAGAGTTTGTGCAGGTGCTATGCACTGATAAACGAGTTTCTACAATTTGGAGACTGCAGACCTATTAAAGAGTATAAGAACCGCTATGCTGGATCAGACCCAGAATCTTGCCTCCAACAGCAGCTAGCAGTAAATGCTTAAAGCAGTGTATGAATAAGAAGGGAGCATATTTATCCAATCTCATCCTTCTAAGTTTGCACCCAGTAGTCAGTCTGGAAAACATCAGCATCTGTGAAGTGGCTGACAAAGCAAATCTATCAAAGGTCCTGTTCTTCATTATATGACACAGTTGCCAAATCCTTGTTAGATCCTCACAGCTCATTTTGTCCTTGCTTTCCACATTCATGCTCCTGTGTTGGAAACTTTGTGAGCTCTGCTGTAATGGAGTTAGCATGGTTTAGGAAGGAAAATACAGACTATGGACAGGAACAGCGTGCCATAGCAGGAGAATGTATGTTGATCAGGTCTGTGACAGTGGCTGACTAGAAGTCATTGAAGGCTGATCCCTTACCTTTAAACCTGTCATCTGAGTCACTCTCACTCTCGCTGTTCTCATCTGCAGAGGAGACAGAGGGATCAGTTAATGCAAAACTAAAGCACACATAAACTTGGTTTACCATGGTGAAACTGGGAAAAATCGTATCTCACACTGAGCCTTGTGATCCACGCATGCTCTCTCCTCAGTTCTAAAATATCTTGAAATAAACAGTATGAATGACTCCTTAGATTGTGTTTTCTTTGAATTAAGTTTCAATTTTGCTTGAGAATATGAGTTTCGTTTTGATGAAAGTGCAAAATTCATTCTCCATTACAGCAACAGGTTGCAATGAATCCCCATCTATGCTAAGCTAGAGATGAATGTGCCATTTGGAAAATGGATTTTAATCCTTCCACTTCTTTTTCAGACTTCAATTTTTTTGAAGAAAGTTACACAGCACTTGCGAAGTCAAAGTAACCCTTATGACCTTTGTCTGTCTGGGCAACATTTTCAATCACCAGAACTCACCAAACTGAGTGGGAGTAACATGCAAAAGTAACCTTATGACAAGATGTATTTTTGAGGTGTACTCACATTAAAGCTCTATTGTACTTCTACTACAAACATGGCCTGAATTTCTTTTTGGCCCCTGCTTTTCCAGAAGCAGTCTGAAGCACAGCGTGAGTTATATTCACAGACCAGTAATGAATTATAAGGTCAAAATTGTAAATTTTGGACAAAACTTACAGATGCAAATTACACAAAAAGAGAACTAAGGAAGAAGCTGGATAAGTCTAGCTGATCATGGGATTAATAGGATAGACAATGCTGAGAATCTTGTTTATTTTTAGCTCATCCCCATTTTCTCCTGTTGCAGACAGAAAGTTATCATTGTTCATAGAAGAAAGTTCTAAACAAAGTAGAGTCCAGGGTAGATGTGGAGGAAAGAAGGGAATCTGTTAACTCAAATGGATTCACTGAACCATGATGCTTGTGTCATACCTCGTAGGGACGCTGTCTCAATATTGGACATAGAAAGTTTCTTCAGCCGCTTCTTTCCCCTTTTTGCACTGTAGATGGAATTGATTCTTTGGACAAGCTGACAATAAGAAAATAAGGAATCAGTAAGACCAAACACTTTTCTGCCAGAAGACTTTTGATTAATCTGTCCAAATAAAGAATTTGATGGATGATAGGCCAGCTGAACCCCCCAAAGCCTTTACTATTTCAAAGTGCATTTCTTATCTCTCTTATTTTGAATCCCATTTGTTCGAATCACTTATTTTGAATCTCACTCCTTTACCTATGGATATATTTAAAAATACAATTAAATAACTCAGAAACCTAAATCCCATTTTCAAAAATCTCACAGATATTTGCAATAAAAGCATAATGAGCCTGAGGATTCAAAGGTACCTGTTATCGTCTACCACCTCATTCCTCTCTCTGCTATTGTTTCTCACTTCACGTGTGTTGTCTAAGTAACAGTGATCCATTAGCCATATTCAACTTTGTGAAACTCTCATGGGCCTTAAGATCATATGCTTATTTTTAATACAAGAGTAACATGTGTGTTAGCACCTCTCTGAACTGAGATTTTACTGTGTCCAAATAAGTGCAGAAGGAGATGGCCCTAAGTTTTTAAAGCCTTTTCAGATACAGAGTGAACCAGTTGCTTTGAAGCTATATCGTATCAGCTGAGGATCTGGCCCATATGGACTTCTCCTCCCTCCCTCTCCCAACTTGTGCTGTACTTACCTTACTTCAGAGGTGCTGTATCTACTTTCTCCAATCTTATCCTTCAAAAGTATTTTGAAGTTAGCTACTAGTGCTGGCTTTAGCTAGCTTTAACCAGCACTAGCCAGAATTTTAACTCCTGGTAATCATCTTTATGACTTCGCTCAGTAGGGCTAATGCAGATAATAACAGTCTCTCAAAAGAAATCTGAGACGATGGAAAATGTTAATGAGAGAACTTGTGCTTAGTGCTTTCAACAAGAGGTTGGGATTACTAAGAATTCGTAATTAAACAGAATATTATAACTTCTGGAGAGTCATAAATACGTAGCAATTAATCTTCATAATGTTTTTATGAGTTGGGAATAGCATATTTCATTCCATAGCAGCTTCACTTATAGAACTATGATACAATTTGCAAAAGCTGTTTTACCTCAGCTCACAGAGAGAAGTAAACTCCGTGAGAGAAACTAATTCACTGTAGACACAGTAGAAAGTCTGCAACAGAGCACAGACTGGAACAAAAACTCATGCAACCCCTCCAACAGAGGAAGAGGGTCTGGCCCAGAAGGGACAGTTTGAAGTGTTAAAATTGTCACTTGTTCTCCTACTTGAAGCAGTATTAGGGATTTTGCCTCTACATGCTGGTTGAATCATGTGCAACCCACTAGCAAGGCTCAGCTGGAACTTCTGTGCTTGTGGCCATGCGCCTGGCTCTGCCCACTGGGAATACGCACAGCACGATGGCAGAACCAGCAGGACAAAATCCTGCCCAGCTCCAGCACGTGCGCTGGCCCAGAAATTCCTGTCCCTAAGCGCTAAACAAGGCATCGAGAACCAGGAGTGAGAGACCTTGCTGGGATTTTTCGCTCCCCTCACTGCGCTGCTTGGCACTTTGCCTGTTTGAGCTGCTTCACCAGGGGTAAAATACCTGCACTGTGGTGAGGAAAGCCCAGATGTTTAAAGCATTTGGATATTGCTTCACAGAGCATCACTGGGGGTGGTACAGAACAGGAGTTTTTCAGGTTCGAGTTTTTCCCTCTAATAAATAACATTTTCTCAATAAAAAACTGAGATTCTTCAGTAATATGTGAGTGTAGGAGCTAGAGTGGTCAGAAATATAAATTATCACAAGATTTATGATAAAACGATGAACATTCATATGCTGAAAACATAAATACCCCCCCCTCAAAAAAAAAAAAAGGAAGTTGAGTACAAAACTAACAGTCAAACTTTCCAAGTTTTACTCAAAACCAAGTCGTAAGCTACTCTGTAAGTTACTCTGTAACTTCCTTCAGAGATGTCTGCTCATTTGTGCAGTTAAATAGTATATTCCAAGAAAGTAAAAATATAGTAAATAATAAGGACGTGGGATTAATTTCCTCCCTTTTGTTTGTTTCCTATTTAGATAGAATTTCAGACTAATTGATAAGAACTTAAAGTCTCCCTCTACTCACAGTATTTACAGCTGTGTACTTTAAAATATGCTCTCTAATAAGAAGAGGAAAGAGCTGAATATACAGTAAAAATCAACTTTGTTCACAAGCCAAAAAAAAAAAAAATATTGGCAGTTGTTCCCCCCTCTGTTGCTATTGTACTAGAAAGTTTGTTGGGTTTTTTGTTGTTGTTTGGGGGCTTGGTTTTTTTTCACATTCCTTTCTGAATTGGAAAACTCCTTGAAAAATGAAAAATTAATTTTTACATCTAATCCATCAAGCCAACAGAGTTATCAGGATGGGGTAGGTTGTGAGTAAATGAAGGGAAACATATCAGGCCAATAATATTTTCCTGAGACAAATGATGGGGAAAAAACCCACTTCAGATGCCGCTGCCTGTTATAAACAATAATTGCTTGGCCATGACCCATTCAAAATCATAAAGTTAGGTACACAACAATGTTCTGGCCCACTGAGCCTAAAGAAAAGTGTGGAAAACAGAACTGGCTTAAAATCAGCTCTGTGCAAAGGTGGCAATCAGATGTTTGCTACTGTTGGACCAGGGCAGAGTTACCAACTTCTTATGAAGGGATTTTCACAGCACAGCTCTATGTAAAAAAGGAGTACGTCTTGGCTCCTGAGAGTTACTGTTTCTGGTTTTATATCCATTTTCCTTTAGGATACAAAACCAGCTTTCAGTGCTGGCTAAAGGCTGGACAGAAATTTGCAAGCTCTTGCAGACAGGTGACCTATCCACAGCATAAGCTTAATCAGCCTGCCAGTACCTTTGGGATCCTCCTGGCCCGCCGTGTAGAGAGCAGCTCGCTTGTGGTACTCAGGCTGTCCTCATTGAGGCTGGAAGGGGAGGAGGGAATGCCAAGCTGAGCCAGCAGCAGCATATCATCGTGGCTGTGCCGCTTGGGCAGCCGTGGTAAGCGGTGGCTCTTCCTTTCTGACCAGTTCCCAATGCGCAGAGACTGGCTGCTGGGCTTCGAAGGCAGCTGCAGGAACAAGAACAGCTTGAGCTCTTCTGCAACACTTAGCGCAGAAGCAGCTCTTTGTGGTGGCTACACAAGGACATCCTGCCAGGCGAGCCACTGCTCTGTCTGATATGTGCCAAGACTGGGTTTAAGGTGAAAACAAAGAGACAGGGGTCAATATCTAACACTTTAAAGTTCAAAGAAAACAAAAGTACTTTGGGCTTTGGTGCATTTCCATGCACCCACATCAGGTCAACTCTACGAGCCTTCAAACCTAATTTAAAGGCTTGCCTGACATCAGAACACTGACATAATGGGCCTGATCCATTTCTTTCACTTGCAGTAGTGAAAATGAAGAGCAATTACATTAAAGTTGCTATTTTATCCTAGAGAAAGCAAGCAGAAAATGAAGCTTGCTGTATTTCCATGGTGTTAAGATGTTTTAAGATCTGCCAGTGTGCGGAGGTGCAGTTACAGCTTTGTCCTGAATACCCAAAGAATTCCCTTTAAAACATGAAACTGTTATCATTGCAGGGGGAAGGGAAAATCTCACTGACAGGATTAAGCACCAAATAATAGCTGTCTTTAAAAAGTTGGGGCTCTTTTGGAGCAGTCCCTCAAGCAGCTCTGCCCAGCTCTCAGGAAGGTTAATTGGCAGGCTGGCAAGGCCGGGTCCCTGCCTTCTCCTCCCAAACACAAACACTGTAAGAAGATTAACCAGCATGTCTAGAGGAAAGTGCTATTATGTCAAGCAGCTGACAATTGGCATTTGTTAATATTCTATTAGCAGTATTACAAGCTATAAACCTGCAGTAATAAATGTCCCATTTGTTCTGCTTGGAGGGCTTAGCTATTATAGCGCCATACTATCTGGGATTAAGCATAGGTGTTTCTGTATGTGTGGGTTTTGCATCACAAATACAATGTCATCAATAAAACATTCTTTTTATATCTGATGACTTCAAAAACTGAAAATAACAAACATGAAAGGAGAAGACATGGTGGGATTCAAAATGACCACAAGCCAGTGTTTTTGATGTCTCTGCTTACCACAGGTTAGCATGCCAGGAAAATCTGCAGCAGTCTATACTTTAATGAAAGGAATTCTTTTTGGAGATGATTGTTGAAAGTCTGATGACCTTCTGATATCTTCCATCTTGTTTATCATCATCCATGACTGAGAAGTCATGTTGCTAATCCAGCTATGTTGCTATGCTGGAAAAACTGGGTGATAAATTGTTGCCAAAGCCACCATTCTTCAGGAAATTGAGACTTTTCTATTTCTGGTCATTGGAGAATTACCCAGGCCCATAGGTGACCTGCTCTTAGTGTCTCTTTGCTTTATCTATCAGCACAATGATAGTGCAATTATGGCAGGACTGACTCCTGGCAGCATGTCAAAAAGAAGCTACCAGAATAAAGACAGCCCTGTTGCAAAGATATCAGAGAGTACTTATTTACTGAGTAACTTTACAGAAGTCATTTTAATCTGTACATTCTTTGGTCACCATGTGTAAAACAGAGAACAGCAGACAGTATCTTACTATGGACCTATATGGTTCCTACCCTAATGGTACACCCTGTTGGATCCTCTAGATGCTACACATTTCCTGTTAACACATACAGCCAAAAAGAATTGTTACGTATCTTATGTCTCTCACTACAAGATTATCTTCGTGGCTACAGTTTCTGTTTCTCCTTACTCTGCCTGATTACTACTTTCCGCTTGTTCCCTTCTCAGTAGCTTTGCTGAAAACACTCCTGGTTTACAAATGATGTGCTAGGTGCATACTAAGAATCCTGGTAATACTTCTTTCATCTGTTGGACTGCAATGCTCACATGCACACAAAATAAGTGCAAGAAAATATATTCAGTTTTGTTCTAGGTCTCTTTACAAGACAAAAATGTAAATTGTTGTGACCTTTTGTTCAACTGCAAATTTTCTGTTGATTTAGTGCAAAACAAAGTTCCTTTAAAAGGCATTTTGAATCTCAAAATTAAGTATGTGATAAAATCTATGTTATTCCTTATGAACACAAGGATCCCATAAACAACAAAGCAACCTGGCATTTCATAGCATTCACAAAAACCAGACTGCTTTGGAAAATTCACCACAAAACGGAAAGTCTGCAGAGTTCCTGATCTTTTACTTTATGCTGTAAACACAACTTATACAGCCTCATTAAATACAGACACTCAGGCTTTTCTGATTATTTTATTATTCATTTATTTATTGGGAGGGCATACCTGGCCTTCTCCATTTTACAATAAAACGTGCCACGCTATGCACTTCACATTAGCAAAGTCACAATAGGCCTCACATATCAATGCATGGGTAAGATTAAGCAGCTGACTTTTTCCCTCCTGTACCTACTAAAAGCCCAGCAGCAAACGTGAAGGCAATTCACAAAGAGGTGCAGCCATACTTATAATTTAGGGCCAGATTCCGCTCAGAAACAACCGTGGAAGGATTCTGCTTAAACTCATCAGGCCATAGCCAGCACAGCGCTGAGAAGCTGAGCTAGAGCTGCCAAGAGCATTCCCAGCAACGATTTATGCATTTGATTGCACTCTTTTTCCAGATACCCTCTGTCATTCAGTATGGCTGCTCTTCCTCCTATGCTGTGATTGATTTTCTCGCAAAAGTTTTAAACAAGCTTTGAGCACAGAAAGATCAGTGCCGTCACGCCATTACCTGGGGAGGTGATGTGTATTTCCTGTCCTGCGGCGTCCACATCCTGTGCAAAGAATCTAGGGAATTCTCGGAAAGCTGATGGGATTTTCGGCCCGCGTGACGGCCTTTCAGCTCCACATCCTCATATGGGTTTTCCTTGGGTGACTCGCCTTCACATTTTATTTTTTTTTTTAAGAAAAGAAAAACAGACAGGAATGTAAAGTGAAAAAAAAATAAAAATCATGTGAACCCAGTGAAAGGCTTTTAGAAAAGCTCCTCGGCTTTCAGCATGACTCATCCCTCTAGCTGCAGCTGGAAGTATTTGGAGGAGAACTTGGCTATGAGGTCGACAAGTTTCTTTGGGGTTTTTTTTATGGCTTTTTTTTTTCTTTAATAAAATGCAAAGATTTCACAAGACGTGCTTCTGAGCATCCACAGCTGTGGAAAATTTATTGATATATAAAAGCTAAGGCACATAACTACTTTAAAGTGTATCAGTAGATTTTATAAATCTATAGCAGCCACTCACAGGGTGAAATGAATAGCAATAAATAACAGTTCTCAACATATCACCCTTACACACAATAAGACAACTTTTATTTGATGCTACCTTCACTTTTCCCCTGAGAGAAGGTAAAGAAAGAATAAACACTTCAGCTCAGCAGTGCCAAGAGAGAAGATTGGAAAATGTAAAAGAGGAGGGGATAATTTCTGCCCTGACCATAACGCATCCTCAAAGTATTCTTTAAAATACATTGTGTTTTCTAATTAAGCAGCTATTCATTTCAAATCACGCAAAACTAATATCGCTCAGAAGGAAACTCATCCTGCCAGTAATATATAGAGGCTTGAACAGTTAATCACTAAGTATGACATAAAGGAAAAATACATCAAAAAGCAGACTGCAATCTTCGAATTTTTAGCATTTGAAAATGTAAAAATTTGAAAATGCAAAATTTGTAGTCCAGGTTTAAATGAGATCCAATACACTTCGGCAGCCTAAGAACCAGTGGAATAACCTATCGTCTTCTCAAAACTTCTACACTCACTAAAACTCTCACTGAACTAAGCAGCATGAAGATGAATGAGTGGCATCAGCAAAATGAACATTTTGTATGCATTTCTTCAAATACTTCATAATCAGCAACTGGCTTAGAACTTCAGGTTTTTCGAACACAGGGTCCTTCCAGTTTTCCAACCATCTTACACAGAAAATCACCTTCAATAAAGCAATCTACTCAAATTCCAGACCTGAATTTGCAGAAACTTGCAACATGCAGGAAGTTCAAAGCTTTTGAACCAACTTGCTTTTGGTTTTATATCTAAAGATGACTGTAAAACTCATGGTTTCAGTACAATATATATTGCAATACAAGCTACTGAATATAAGAAATTCAGATTTTACTACATACTGCATCAATTAAGAATTGAAAACAGAAAGATACAGCATGGTTTATTATTCACACTGTTACAGAAAATAGCCACTGCTTTCACAGAGGTGACAGTTGTGGCATAGGTATTTTCAGTGACAGGACGGCCTGGATTAATACCCAGTTTGTTTGATTACCCATTTTTTTGTTCTAGTCAGAATTTTACTTTCTTCATTGTACAAAAGAAAACAAAAGTAGTTTGTGCTTTCTACTTTATTGTTAAGCCTGGAAGCGTGAGTCTGCTTGATTCATCAATTATAGCAATAAGAGCTTTTGCTTAGCAAGTTCACATATTCACAATACAAGTAAAAATACAGTTTTGCTTCATTAGCACATCATACTAAGATTTCTAGTCAAATATAAGAACAAGAGTGAATGCTTTTGCTTTGTGTTAATTAGAAGCCTGAATAACTGCTGCTCTTGAAGAATGTTTGAATTGGCAATCACAGCTTATTATTTCATCCAGAGGGAATCTGATTCTAGAGGCTGCACTATTATCATAGTCAATCTGCACGCCACATGGAAAGAACACGTTCAGGTGCATGGGGTACTCAGAAGCAAGACCTTTTGATGAACAGGATTAATCTTAAGCAACAAATATTCCTACAAAAATTGAAAGCTGCAAATGTTCTGGGAGGACTATGGAATTGATTGATTCCTTCTGCAGGAAGAAAAATAAATATCTATTGCACACTAATTCTGTTACTTGTAAACTCTAGAGCTCTAGATATGATAATCATAACAACAATAAATGGTCAGCTTTGCAAAATGCTGTTGCTTACTCACAGCTAATTGGACTGTACTAGCATAATAAAATTTCTTGTAAGCCCAAGTCAAGTATAGGTCAAGCAAGCATTTTAGAATGGATTAACAGATTTCAAAATACCCGGCTACGTTAGACAGTGTTTAAACATATGCTTCCTTGTGAGAGCAAATGTTATTACATTAGTCTGCACAGTATCCAAACTCACGAAAAGAAACAAGCCCATCAGTTGAAAAGAAACCTTTTTTAAAATGTAAAGCATTTAAAAGTTTTAGGGTGATTCTCTTTCCAAGACGCAATGTAAACCAGAATTGCTTGAATCCAGTTAAACTCAGCATTACCAATGTTGACCTAAAATATTAAGTATAGAAACAGGCCCAGAGAAGTCTTGGATGAGAGGAGAGGGAAGAGCAAGGAACCATGAGCAGAGGCTGCTTTTCTGACTCAGATTCTCTACGAAAAGAAAGCTCAGGCCAAATTCCTCTTCAGTGTAATGTGGAGGTCAGTGGAGATACCACAGGGATTTTAACCCTTTCCCTAGAGAGTTTCTTCAGATGACTGGCTCATTGTTTAAGAACACTTGTTTCTTTTTTTTTTCTCATTTGCTTAAAAATCAAATTATTTCAGATTTTTGGGTTTTTTTTCATTTTTAAATTAGACCTTGAGACCAAATATTCCTCACCTATTCTTTTTTTTTTTTTCTTAAAGAATAAACTTCCCCACCAAATCTCTGATCATGAAATAGTCTAGGCAATCTGAAGCAATCTGGTTTTGCTGATTTGGCATTTGAACCCAGTATTTGGTTCAGTCAGTGAACTAAAAGAGAATTTATTTGTCTAGGTCTTCAGTAATTTTCAAACCTTAGACATCCACCCTTTCTTAGTATATATGTTGTCCCTGGTGGATGAGACCAAAAGACCAGATATGCAAAAAGAGCACTAGGCAGCCCAGACAGATTGGTTTCTGAGTGTCAAGAGTAGGAAGGACAAGTGACAAGAAACCCAAGATGGCAAGCAAGCTAAAAAGATGACTGAGGGTACCCTGAACTGCCTTAGAGCAGCTTTTAACCCTATCACTCTGCATTGTAACTCCCTTCCATGGAGAAAGACCTGGGAACTGATGGCCATCAGCAAATGTAGGTCCCACACCAGAGGGATGCTCTGGGCAAGGGCTGCAGTGGTGGCTGCTACTGTTGCTGTAGCACAAAAATGAGTAAAGCTTCCATACACCTGGGCTGGCTCAGAGGTTTGCAGTTTTGATCTCTGTGTTTCTTCTCAACACCATCACTTCTCTAGTCCCAAGGCCCAGGCAAGGAATGTTCACAATCTGCAAGCTGCAGTGCTTTTGCATTCATTTGGATTTGCTGCAAAAGGAAAACACTTTTACAATGAAAGAGCAAGGAAACATCCTGTTCCTTCCATATGGATGTCTCTATTGGAAGCCAAAAGGAGAAACATTATGCAGTATAGGGGCCAGGCTTGTCTTAATGAGGCTGATCCAACTGCCACACAAGACAACAGCAGACTATCACTGACTTCAAAGGAAGCTGAATCAGATCCCCAGAATGCAGATGGTCACACAAAATAGAAAGCCTTTGGCAAATACTGTCTCTTATCATCATCCCTACTTCCAGTTCAGTTCCCTTTATAAGCATTTTTTTTCAAGTTTCCCATTCTCTTGAATTCTATGTACCAAACTGCTGAGTTAACACAGGACATTTCTCTACACATTTATCTTCAGAAGATTTCACAGGCAATTTAATGATTGGTCTGGGGGCGGGG